TGACATGTTGTGGGGTTGTTAACCAATGTCATAAAACAATATGTGTACTACTGTTTCATGAGAAACTATTTGTTCTGTAAGCCTTCACCTGAAGTACAATTAAAAAAAAAAAACTTTAATTGCTCTAAAATATAACTCACTGTCTAAAGCAAAAATAGGAATGCATTTTGTTTATAGCATATGCAAAAGTAAAATATATGACAATACCACAAAGGATGGTGGGGGAGGGAGGGAGAGAATTGGGACTTTTGTAAGATCTTAGAATAAATGTGAAGTGGTATATTAATTGAAGGTAGAGTCCAGTTAGTTAAAGATCTATTGTAACCCTAGGATAACCACTAAAAAAACAATTTTTTAAAGAAGTATAAAAAGTCAATCATGGAAATAAAATGGAATCATAAAAAAATTCTCAGTTAACCCAAGAGAAGGCAGGAAAAAAAAGACCAAAAAAAAAAAGACGAAAACAGCTAGCAAGATGGCAGAGTTTAATCCAAACTATAAATAATGACATTAAATGTGAATGGTCTAAACATGCCAATTACAGACACAGACTGTCAAACTGAGTAATAAAGTAAGATCCAACTACATGCTATCTAAAGAAACCCACTTTACCCGACCTCAAAACATACTACACAGCTACAGTAATCAAAATAGCTGGTACTAGTTCAATGATAGACACATAGATCAATGGAACCAAATTGAGAAACCAGAAATAAACCCATCCATCTATGGGCAGCTGGGTTTTAAAAAAGAGGTCAAAGTCCACTCAACGGGGTAGCAATCTCTTTAACAAATGGTGCTGGCAAAACTGGATCTCCATTTGCAGAGAAATGAAACAGGATCCATACCTAACACCAGACACAAAAACTAAATCAAAATGGATCAAAGACCTAAATGTTAAAGCCAAAACTATAAAGTTCCTGGAAGATAATACAGGGACAAAACTTTAGGACCTAATTTCTTTCAGTAACAGATTACCAAGAGCAACTACAGATGCACGAGCAGCAGAAGACAAGTTAGATAACTAGGATCTCCTAAAAATTAATACTTACGCTCATCAAAAAACTTTATCAAAAGAGTAAAAAGAAAACCTACAGACTGGGAAAAAATATTTGGGAATGACATATCTGATAAGGGTCTAATCTCTAAATATGTAGAAAACTTCAGCAACTCAACATCAAAAAGACTAACAACCCAATTAAAAAATGGACAAAGGACATGAACAAACTCTTCACCAAAGAGGACATTCAAGCGGCCAACAAACACATGAAAAGATGCTCACGATCATTAGCCATCAGAGAGATGCAAATCAAAACTACATTGAGATACCATCTCAGCCCTGCAAAAAATAGCACTGATCAAAAAACAGAAAACAAAAAATGCTGGTGAGATTGCAGGGAGGTTGGAATCCTGCTCCACTGCTGGTGAGATTGTAAAATGGTTCAACCACCATGGAAAATGGTATGGCACTTCCTCAAAAAGCTAGAAATTAGAAATACCCTGTGATCCAGCAATCCCACTCCTAGGTGGTATATATCCTAAAGAACTAAAACTACTGACATGAACAAACATATGCACACCTATGTTCATTGCAGCATTATTCACAATATCAAACAAAAATGGAAACAACCTATGTGCCCATCAGCAGATGAATGGATAAACAAACTGTGGTACATCCAGACAAGGGAATACTATGCAGCCATAAAGAATAATGATGAGTTCTCAAAGTACATTATAACATGGATGAATCAGGAGGACATAACACTGAATGAAATAAGTCAATCACAAAAGGACAAATACTGTATGATCTCACTATTACAAAAAGACAAGAATACGTATACGTACAGAAAGCAACATTCTTTGGTGGTTACCAGGGATGGGAAAGACAGGGGGGGGAATCACTATCTAGATAGTAGACACTTGTTAGTTTTGGTGATGGGTAAAGCAATACTGAATAAAGGTGATGTCAGCACAACCTCACCAAGGTAAATGATGACACTAAGAAGTACACAAGAATAAGGGATGATTTTGGTAAAATCCACAACATACACAATTTTGCAACAACAGTAATAACAACCAAAATTATGTGAGTGGTTACACAGGTAGATATTTATGCTTATATATGTATAGGTGAGCACATATGAATATGCAGGGGCACATGTACAGGTGTTTCTGTAGGCAAGTGTACATATATGTTTGTGTTGCTGCATATATAAAATAAAGCACATAGGGGACACAATTCTGGATACTTCCTAGACATAACCAAATACCTCATGGGATTGGTTTACTGGGTTTGAGAGCTTAGGACGACAGTCTTTGGGGGCAACTTGGTCAATGGGCATAACATAGCTTACAAAGACAATGGTCTACATCCTAGTCTGGTGAGTAGCATCCGGGGTCTTAAAAGCTTGCGAGTGGCCATCTAAGATACAACTATTTGTCTCTATGCCCCTGGAACAAAAGAGAAATAAGAAACCCAAAGACTCAAAGAAGAAACTAGTCTACAGGACTAATAGTCTTCATGAACCACAGCTTCACCTACGCTGAGACCAGAACTAGATGGTGTCCGGCTACCACTACCAAGCGTTCCAACCAGGGACACAATAGATGGTCCTGGACAGAATGGGAGAAAAATGTAGACTATAACTCAAATTCCTAAAAAGACCAGACTAACTGGCCTGGTAGAGACTAGAAGAACCCCTGAGACTATTGTTCTGGGATACCCTTTAAGCTTGGAACTCAAACCACTCCCAGTGGTCACGTATCAGACAAAAAGACACAGTCGATCAGAAAATACATAATATCACCCATGAGTTACTGTTCTCCACTAAACAATCATCTAAATGAGACCTAAAGGTCAATAGTTACCCTAGACCAAAGATGAGAAAGTAAGCGGGTAGAAGGAAGTTAGATGAATAGAAACAGAACTAGAATGGAAATAATGAGA